TCCCAGTACATGTAATACAAATGTACATAGTATGGGTCGAGTCCACTCCATCATGCTGTCAGGCTTCTTTTACAACTTGTATCATCCTGATCAACGTCGGACTGTAATGCTGTCCAAATCACTGGCCAAAATTGTCTCTATGCCGACAGGGCATCGTCCATCCGATGCATCTCCACGGCCAATCTCTAGATATGATAGCGATAAGATCCAATCCCTGCCCTAAACTAAGCCCTAACAGGCTTGGAAGCAAATTTTCACCGTTCCCTTTCGGAGCTAGCGCCCTCCAAATCTCCTTATAAGGGAGCCCTCCCCCGTACCCTCTTCCTTCTTCAAAAGCAATCAGAGAAGCCACGCAGCGACTGCTTATCTTTCCACGGTGTCTCTGTGCCAGATTCTTTCATGAATCATCTCTCTGTAGAACAAACACTCCTGGATAGGAAACTGATTCGTCGTCCATGGCGCTTCAGTGTCGATGAATGGAGACATTGCAACCCTTTTCGTTATTATCTGGCTTTCGAGCTGGGTCTTGAAGAATTGGCGAATTGGCGAGGTTGGGTTAGTTGTGATGCTTCGGTGGACTTTTGTGCCCTTGTAAGGGAACCCCTTCGTTTTGGGCGGGATTCCGAACCGGAGGGACTGGCGTTTTGTTTGTCCAGCTTGCCGATCGTGAACAGTGCAGCTTGTGCGAATGCAGCCACGAAGTGAGAAGATATGTACCTAAGTACTTAAAGTAGGTACATACTTGGTTCGAAGCAGTGATCCTCATGAATGTTGCGGTCCTGTCTTCAAGATGATCCAAGCATGATGGTAACCGAGAAAGGAACATCTTCTGCATTGTCGTCCTGGCGGACTTTTTGCAGACCCTTTGATTTGCTTAGGCTATCTATTGTCATATACGGCCATAGATTGAAGAAAATACGGGATCCCGTCCGCTCTCCGATAGTCAAGCTTCTAATCGCCAAGTTAGTACTGTGATGGGTGACCATGCGGGAATCCTTGGTGCTGTATGCTTTTGATTTTGCTCGACGTCTGATATCGCAACGGCCATAATCGTACTGGAATTAACAGCATGATTTAGCCTCGTTCCCAGTCCAAAGCGCAAAGCGTGTTCCGACGATATTTTTTGTAGAGGGCGTCGTGAAAATTGCTGCGTAGCAGCATGATTTAAGTAGCATGTACTCGAGTCCTGATGTAATCTGTCACAACGTACCCCATTGTGGGCGGCGACTGGGGACGAGGCTAGTAGTCACAAGGAGTTGTGATCTCACAGAGGATTTGGACGGTGTTGGGCATATTGTAACTCTGAAGTCATTCATGATAATCGAGAAGTAAGTAGTTTTACTTCATGAATTCAGCTGTACAAGTACTATTTATCTCGAAAATATCTAGAAATCTTGTACTTAAGAACTTCAAGTAGGTAAGTACCTAAGACATTCAATCACATATCCTCGAATTCGATATCCAGTGCCAGTTAGTACCAGGAAGCTGCGAGCGAGCCCATCATTCTGAGCTCACTGCAGCAGTTGCCAGTTGTTGTTCAACGCCTAGTCATATGCATGCCATTAAATTTTCTCTGGATGAGATATACGAACGCCTAGATATTCATTAGCATGCTTTTACAGTCTGAACCGAGCCATATGAAATGGCAGACTTACATATCGTTCTATTTCCCTTACTATCAGGTTGTCCGATAGAGCCACCAAGCGTTGACATCAGCAACTTCTGAGAGGACCCACTGTCGGCATACTCTGGTAACTTTGAATTGTCTATCTGCGCATACCAAGTCTCAGAGTTCTCAAATGGTCGTTCATCGTCCACCGTGCTCACACACAAGACAGACCACCTACTGGGCCATTTCCCAGTAGCTTTATCCAACGTAAACTTGGTCACTATCAACAATTGACCAGGAAGATTCTTGCGATTCGGGGCATAAACCGAACATTCCTGCAACCCTCTCTCAAAGCTGTAGATTGTTTCTTTGTCGTCCATCAGACAGAACACGTACTGCCCGCCGTTTGATGACGAGAAGATTTCCTGTACTCGGGATCCGAACAAGCTGTCCTTCCAGTTTTGGTGTATGAGAGCGCTGTAGTAGAGCTTGAGATAGTCTGTAGGGCATCGCTCAAGGGTGAGGCTGTGGTAAAGCTCGCCGCGGATGGCGGACAAGAAGCGGCTCTGCTCGGTGGTGCAACGCTCAAATGGCAGAACCTCCGAGTCGGGAATGCTGGAAGCGGATAGGCCAATGGTTTCTTTCATGGTAGCATGTGGCATGATGACGACTTTGGAGTAAGATGATTGAAAGCGGGTAGTTGTGTTGCTGGATAGATCGACTCGGACGGGTTTCGGGTTGTTGCAGGTTGCTGACTGAAGTGCGAGGTGGACAGGCGGAAACTTTTTTAAGTATGCGCTGGCGAATACTCCGAGGAAAAGACCACACAAAGGCCAGCTCTTCAGATGTAATCTCCTCTCAAAAATAAGCTCTCACCAAACCAGGTGCTTTGCCGAAGAGCTGCCCGAAAAACGGACACATGTCTCAGGCTGTCGCCTCCCATCTTGAACACTGACATGCACTAAGCCGCTCCGGGAAGTAAAGCTGAACTTGCTTGGTCAAGATCTTGCTCCGAGGCTACTCATTCTTTCTTCCGAAGAACGTGATCTAGCCCAACGTTGCAACCATCTCTTTGAGCGCCTTTGTTATGCACAGCAGCGCAGGCCGTCTGAAAGTGGACTACACGTGGATGATCGATTCCACATGGCATTAATATAGACAGACCCTCGGAGTTGTTCTTCCGCCTCAGTCGTTTCTGAACCTATACTCTCAGATATCTCCTCTCCCTCCCAAACCCAACAACTTCCCCATAAACCACACCTTTTCGCTCGTTTTTGCTCAATACACGCTCATTTCTCAGACACTCACTACGCCTTCAACCTTACAATCCGGCCATTATGGATCCCCCGCATGCGCTTCAAGAATACCCCTCTCCGCCTCATCAGTACACCTTCCCGGCCAACTCAAACTCTAGGCTTGAGCCTTCTTCAACTACGCCTTCATATGCCGCACAAACAACAACATCTCAGTCAACAACTGCATCATTCTTTCGGAGGCTCCCGAACTACGGAATCGGCATCTTCAAGCTGCTATGGTATGGCATCCGCTTTGGAGCCATGATTCTTGCCGAAATGTTCATCATCATCACCGAAACTCCATCCCATCTTGTTTTCCTCGCCCTTGAGCTCGCATTTCTCAACTACACCACCGTCTATACCATCAAAAGTCTCATGTTCTTCTTCCCACTCGTCCCGTCGATTACGATACGAATCAACCAGTTGATCATCAAGCCGATTCTCAATCCGAGCAGGAATATCGATCCGGAGTTGTCGGTATCAGATTGGTTACGGATACCCGCTGACAGGAAAGGATCCTTAAAGGTTACCGCAGCGTTTATGACGGCATGCGCTTCCGCTTTTGTTTCTTTCCAGGAGATGGGGTATTTTCCACCGAAGGAGCCGAGTATATCGTATATGGGAGCTTTTGGAACATGGGACTGGTTAGTTACGGAGACGGGTCACGCTTTCCTGGTGTTTTGGTGGTACCTGTCTATGGTGATTTGGTTTGCGCTCTTTCATGCAGCTTTTAGTAAGCAGGGAAAGGAGAAGGACTCGGACTCGGACTCAGACTCGGACTCAGGCTCGGAGAACGATCAAGATCCGACGCCACAGCCTCCGGAGAACGACATTCAAGTTTGGCCTAGTAGACTGGGAAGAATATTGTTTCGTGTGTGGATTGTGATTGAATGTGCAGTTTATATCTGGCGGTACACAACTTGGGTGATGAAGTATAAGGGAGGAGATGGTTGCAATGCAAGTCTGTGGGATTACTGGAAGGGCAAGTGTTGGGGAGAGCTTGAGCTTGAGAAGCAGTGAGGGGTGCCATTGGAAAAGTGCTTGTTTTTGTTGTCTTTCTCGATGTTCATTGGCAGTGGTTCTGTTTAGCGCTTCAGTCTTTTCCTTTTCGAGAACTGCGCGTAGAAGGTGCCTTGATACCCTACCTTTGAGTTTTTTTGTGGGTTTTTTGTACGTTACAAAATGTGATCGATGTGTGTCTCTTCCTCGCTCTGGCTTCTTTTTGTTTCTGGGGTACCCGATTCAGGTCTTTTGGCTTTGCCAGTGGCCATGCATGAAGCAATGACTTTTAGCATCTGCATTCAAGGTGAGCGCGTTGTTATCTTGAGCTATCGATATATCGGACACCCGAAGATGCAAGTGGATTACTCCACCCATTATCACGGATTTTTTACCATGTTGGAGGGTCTAAATCAAGTTTGGTGATCCCGTCCGCTCTCCCATGGTCAAGCTTCTAATCGTCAGGTTAGTACTGTGGTGGGTGACCATGCAGAATGTCCTGATGCTGTATATTTTGTTTATCGTAAGCTTTTTGCTTGATCGTTGCTTACCAGTGGACACTTTACCATCAACATACCACAATGTGCATAAGTACTTAGTACATCGGCAGAGCCAATCGCACTTCAGCAGATTCTTCAAGACTCGGATCCGCTCTACCATGCAATTCGTCCGAGAGTTGGAGCTGAGAAAAATTCGACAAGTATACAAATAGGCTTGTAGAATCGTCGGCTGCAGCCTACGAATCGAGCCATTTTCACATGGAGCTGCCCTCTATGTATATGGGAGCCTGCATGAAAGTTACTAAGCCTCATCCCTGGTTCTGAGCATGAGCATCGCCCAAATTTGTGGAACCTCCTGCAACGGGCTACCAGAAGTGGTGTATTACAAGAGAACTCGGAGGTTTGGATCCTCGGATGAGTGAGTATTTTATAAATCCTCGGAGCTGTTCTTCACTTGAAATTGGTCTCGATTCAACAAACTCTCCCTTTCCTTTCACTCCAAGACCACCAAATCTTTCAGCAACTCGCAAAGTTTCGCTCGTTTTTTTCACTCGTTTTTCATCAACGCGCCCTTTGTCTCCTCCTTCTTGGTTTTTGGCTCTATCCTTCAGATCTTTCTTTGTTGCATTCTCTGTAATCACTCACTCTTCGGCCTTACTCTCTACTTCCACCCGAAGCTCCAAACTCACAGCTATCGCCGTATTATGGACTCCCCAGGCACATCTCAGCACTACTCCGCCCCACCTAAACAATACACATTTCCAGCAAGCTCAGGCTCGGATGCGGCCTTCGAACCCACCTCATCGAGGCCTGCATACGCCGCAATGGCACAAACGATATCACCTCCATCAACCATATCATTACTCTTCCAGAGGGTGAAATACTACGTCTCCAGCCTCTTCGACCGCGAATTGATCTCCTTCATCCTTCGGCGATGCGCCACAAGCGTCATCAAATGTCCACCCCATCTCGTCCTTCTCGCCCTCCAGCTCACCATCGTTCACTACACCACCACCTTCTACTACTTGAAACGCACCCCGTACCTCTCTGTCCTCGTTCCCTCGGTCCTTATACGCCTCAATCAGCTGATTTTCAAACCTATTCTGTTCCCCAGCTTGGATATCAACCCACACGAGTCGCTCTTGGCCTGGTTCCGAATTCCACCTAAGATGAGCGCGATTAGGAGAATGATTATACTGAATGGAGTCCTAGCGTTGTTCCGGATGTGTCTTATTCCTTTTGTTCCGAGCTCCGATGCGCCGGAGTCTAAGACAAAGGTGGAGGGACCGTGGGATTGGGTCAAGGTGAACGGGTGGGATGCTGCTGACCTGCTTTCGTGGCACTTGATTATACTGGTGGTGGTTGCGTTTAGCCAAGCGTACTGGTTGGGAGGAGGGTGGGAGAGGGAGGCTGCTCAGCCTGAAGGTTATGTGAGTAGTTCGGATGATGAGAATGAGGAAGAGACTGGCACCGGGGCTGGTGAGCAGGTACGGATCGTAGGTGGGAAGCCGAAGGAGGATCGGTTTGGATGGGGCTCTACGGTGTGGCTTGGCTTGGTGATACTTGAGTGTGGGGTTTATGTTTGGTGGTACTTCAAGTGGGTGGAAAAGTTCAAGGGAGATGGTTGCAGTCTTGTTGTTTACTGGAGGGGTGGTTGTCCAGAGGTGAAGTGAGGGATACGCATACCTTTTCAGAACCTATTATGCTGGTTATTCGTAGCAGTTGTTGTTCTGACTTTTGAGTACCGTTTAGAGCTTCAGTCTTTTGTTTCGAGGTTGAATGTAGAAGTAGCCTTGATACTCGGGTTTTGTCGTTGAGGATGAATGTAATGGATGCACTTCCCTTTCGGAGTTTCCGGTTCGGTTCTTGGATAGAAATGAACATTTCTTATAGCTACTAACAGGATCCGGGATAATTTAGCTATCTCCCAGCATGTACATGCAGCATTATGACAAATTGGTATGCCCCTCGAACAATGATCTTCAAACGCTATACCTTTTTCGCGCGGAAGTAAATATGGACACAGTCTATCGCTTCTCCTAGCGTCGTTAACCCTTCTCCGTCTACCTCCAAATCGATGGCCTTGAACCCCACAGCTCAGCAACTGACGGACCTCAATGCCCAAAAAACGCACAAAGAAACGCACACCATCTCGACATGTTAGAATCCTAACTAACGAGTGTCTCAATTGCGGCACTCTCCTCATACCCGACTCGGATAAGTATGTACCGGCCTCGCAGATGGACCCATACCCTAAATGCAGACGAGACACCTCTATTCTCACGCTCGCATCCTCAGCAACCAGCCGCCTCACCGACACCTTTCCCTTCCTTCCGCACCTCATTCTCCTAACCCTCGAACTCACCCTTCTCCACTATACCACCATCTATACCATCTCCAGTTCCACGCTATTCTTCCCGCTTGTCCCCTCACTTATGATCCGCCTAAACCAGCGACTCATAAAGCCTCTCCTCTTCCCATCCATGGACACATCAATGCTGACCTGGTGGAAGCTTCGATCTCGCTCATCAGCTTTAATCGATCTTATTATCGTCTGTACGGGCTGGGCTATCTATTCACATCTAGTCAGCTCCTACGGAATTCATGAGCCTGAGATCAAGGGGTTGTTTGGAGCATGGGCAAGGCTGGTTCTGGGAGGCATAGAGGCTACGGGGTTGGTTGTGAGGCAGCTTGTGGTCTTGCTCGTGTTTGGGTACCTTATGGTGGGGATATGGGAGTATGAAGAGAGGTTGTGGGATGAAGCGGATTTGAAGCTGGCTAAAAAGATCCGAGAGTCAGATTCGGATCTGTGGTGGGTCGGATGGATGGTGCTGGAATGGGGGGTTTATTATTGGTGGTGGTGGAGTTGGGTGAATATGTATAAGGCTGGGGATGCGTGTAGGTTTGGGGATTACTGGAAGGGGAGATGTTGAAGGTTGGTTTATTCCGTGATCATGAGGCAGACATGGGCTTATCTGGTGTCACAGGTATGGTATGTACTGGAAGAGTGGCGCTCGAATGGTACCATGGTTATTTTGATGATGATTGCCAAAACAAGTGCGTCATTCATCTCAGAGTAATGCAAGGTCGTTTGCTTAGTATACGCTCCTCGAGGCCCACAAAAGCAAGACATAGAGAGAACGAACTTTGAGAAGAATCGGCTACCATCGGTTAACCGGTTGGCGTACTATGCCAGTACCCGGCTTATATCCTCTTATGTCTTACAAGGAGTAGATACTCTGCAGTTACCTTCATGCTGGAAACTGCAAAGATCCGTATTACCATGCTCACTATCATGAGAGCATCACATGGACAGCTGATCTGCAATACCAATCCATATTGCCTTATATTCCAGAAACAGGGCTACCGAACCGAACCATGTTAACAGATTTGAGTAAGGTATCAAAGACTCCATGGTATCAAGCAAACTCCCAATCTAGAAGGTCCAACCTTTTATTTGTGGATTACACGGGGGAAGTTGATGCCTATTTTACATTACTATAAAGGAACTTACTTTGCCTCGGCTGGTTCTTCCGACTCGCTTAATTATTGCATAATCCAACCTTCATGCCTTTTGTTCGAGCCTCCTCCCTTCCTTTCTCAACCCAACAACTTTCCAAAACTTCACACCCTTTTTGCTTGTAATTGTTTCAAGCACGCCCAGTTTATCCAAACACTAAACCTCACGACACGAGCTCAGGACTCCTTCCATTCAGCGCCGAACTACCTCCATAATGGATCCACCTTACACAACACCATCCTATGCCGCACAAGAAACACCCACTACATCAATCAACGCATCCGAATCCCTCCTCCAAAGAGCCACAAACTTCATAACCAACTTCATCACCATCCCCCCGCACCTCGCCCTCCTCGCCCTCGAACTCACAGCCATCAGCTATACACCCATCTACTACGCCCTCATCACCTGCTTCCCCCTCGTACCTTCAATCACCATTCGACTCAACCAGCTGATTATTACGCCAATTCTCAATCCAAGCATTCCAGCGGAGACCCATTCAAAAGGGTCGCTTTCAGATTGGTTCCAAGTACCGGCTGGGAGGGAAGAGTCATTGAAGGCCACACTCGGTTTGATGGCAGCTTTATCTTCTGCGCTTGTTACGGTACAGGATTGGGGCTATTTCAAGAAGGAGGAGGTACTGGCGTCGTTTGGGGGGTGGGGGTGGTTGGTGTGGGGTGTGGGGAGGGCGGGCGCGTTGTTTGTTTTGCAGCTGAGTACAATCATGGCCTTTGCGATATTCCAGGGTGAAGTTTTGAGCGTGGCGATGGTAGAGGCTTGGAAGAGCGGGAGTTGGGCTTGGGGTACGATATTGTTTCGGTTGTGGGTTGGGGTGGAGTGTGGACTTTATCTTTGGTGGTATGCGATGTGGGTGGTGAACCATCAGGAAGGAGATGGGTGCAGTGCGAACTTTTGGGATTATTGGAAGGGTAACTGCTGGGAGGAGATTGCCGGGCTTGTGAAGCAATAGTGGCTCGAGGGATACTGTTGGTGATTACTCAGGAGTGTGCGTGGCTGTTATCACATCCCCTGTGGCTTCGGCCACTTGCAGTATTAGGATGCTACTACCTCGCCAGTTGGGTACTTTTTGCCTAGCGTTTTGGTCTTTTCTTTTCGAGCGGCTGATGTAGGAGGAGCCTTGATACCATAGCTACCTTTAACCCTTTAACTTCTCTACTCATTCTGGAGGATGTGGTGGGTGTTTTTGCCTTCTATTCTTTGTTCATAGTGCTTGATATCCTTGCGAGCCGGTCGGTTGCCGGCATACCATGATCGCAACGTCGTTCTTTGTTCAACTGAATTGACGATCCATGTTGCGTGAATTTGGTCTTTCACGTTTTGCCTCTGGACATCCTTTGTTGCATGCTTCTGATTTCGTGAGTGGGTTTTCTTGCCCTGTTGATCGAATATAATTGGCCGAGTTGTTCTTCCCTTTCATCTCAGGGCGTTTAGCTCACATGGAAGAAAGCCAGAGCTGCAGACGCCTTGATTGTCTAGCGCTGGACCGGTACAAGCGCATAACCGTCTAAACCGTGACATACGGCCATTGATTGAAGAATATACGGGATCCCGTCCGCTCTCCCATAGTCAAGCTTCAAATTGCCAGGTTAGTACTACGGTGGGTGACCACGTGGGAATCCTTGGTGCTGTATGTCTTTTGTTCAGCTGAGTGCCTTTCATGAGGGCAGCACGCGCTTATAGGCTTTGGTAAGTGATGACTGCGGCTTCTATCCTTTCCACATCATGGAACAATGAGAATGCTTTGTTTTGCTCTACTGGAGCATATGATATCGTTTGCTTGTGAGAAAATGACTTGCTCGAGCATGAGATGTCTGCAATGCATTATGGAAACTGCGCTAAGCCGTTTCTGGAAGTAATCATGAAAACCACGGTTGCGGGGCTCTCTTCCTTTCCATTTTGCGTTCACTATACTAAAGCATCCAACAGTCACATACGGCCATAGATTGAAGGGAACACGGGATCCCGTCCGCTCTCCCATAGTCAAGCTTCTAATCGCCAGTTTAGTACTGCGGTGGGTGACCACGTGGGAATCCCTGGCGCTGTATGTCTTTTGCAATTTGTCCCACCTGTAATGGACTTTTGTAGACAAACGGAAACTTTCAAACGCACAGAACGATGTGCATGCTTGCTTTTGCGGTATCTTCAAAGGCGGGCCCATGGCTCGTAGTTTCTTGATAAGAATAGGTCTTTGTTCGTCGCCTATTTCCAACTGCAAATGGTTTAATACGCTAACTGTTTCTGGAAGTAATTATCACGACCAGGAGGCGGGGGGGTTTCTCAATCTCTCTAGCATCGTACGTCATTCAGTCGATCCTGTATATGCGCTGAATATTCTCTACAAGATGAGCGATTCAATGAGTCTGGGCACGAATTCGCGACGGTGGATAGCTTAAGTAATTATTGCTGGAATTCAAGTTCCGTCTGGGCGGATAATGTGGATCAGATTGAAGAGGGATGTACCAGGCTTTGGGATTTAAGCTAGGAACGGTAATACCAGTGGCAAAAAAGCGATATTTTGATATCAACTTGAAAAGAGATCGGGGTAGATCCAGAATCATGTGTACTGGAATAATGAGAATTGCAATCGGACTCTGTTTCGTCACCAATGCCTGGCAGTTGGCTAGCAAAACTAGCCAGACTTAAGTATTTTAAAAAGAATCTGCAGGCACATACGGCCTGAGATAGAAGAATATACAGGATCCCGTCCGCTCTCCGCTCGTCAAGCTTCTAATCGCCAGGTTAATACTACGGTGGGTGACCACGTGGGAATCCTTGGTACTGTATGTTTTACATATGTTGTTGTTTTGTTCTGTGACCGAATCTGAGCGAGGACTTAACGAATCTACTGGTGGAATGCATACTGCAATGGCCAGTCTGTGCAGCTGGTAGCCGTTTAATGGTGCAGAAGTACATGTCCTTATTTAAGTACTTTCACGCTGATATAAATGACGGTTGAAGCTCCGGGCCGTTGCGTTCACGTTCTAAACTTGCTTTCCACGATGCAGATACGGACTCGGAGAGGCACAGATCAAGGCCGAACTCTTATGAAATTAAAATAAAATACCTGCTACTATCAAAAGCCCGGTTGGCTCAGTCGGTAGAGCGTGTGACTCTTAACAGCCTCCTATCATAGGAGGCTTGAGAGATCTCAAGGTCGCGAGTTCGAGCCTCGCATTGGGCTACCCCTTTTTTTAGTCAGTCAATTTTACGTAGGCCGCAGCATGCATAGCTGGCCAAACGTCAGTTGTCTTTAGGCTACAGAACCTGCTCGGTGGCC